AGTCTTCCGAAGATGCTCCTGAAAAATCTTCGACATGGGTCTCTGATAAGTGGCACCTGCATTCTTTAAACCGAAGGGCTTGACCGTGTAGCAGAAAACGCCGAGGGGTGTTCTAAATGCAGTATGTTTTTCGTCATCTGGATGCATCTTTATTTGATTATAACCAGAGAAACCATCCATGAAAGACATCCTCTCGAACCCGCACGCGATGATGACATCCGTGATAGGAAGGGGGAAATCGTCTTTTGGGCATGCAGTGTTGAGGTCTCGAAAGTCGATACAAATCCTGACCTTCCCGTTCATTCTCCTCTTGATTCGGATTATTACGACGACTGGGTTCTCCTTGGTGAGTTGTCAGTGCCGCGATTTGCTGGTCATGCATCTCTCTCATCTGCTGCATAGCCACCTCCAGGCTAAAGCGTCGTGTCGATTTGCCTCTACCGGTCATATTAGCAGACACTTCTAGGAATTTGTCCTCTTGGCGAACATGCTTCTTCCTACGAAAACGCCTTGGCTTGGTCTCGGACGTTCTGGTGGAAATTCTCTCGAACACCGAAACTCTCCTTGGGGCTTTAGTGCAGCAGTATTCTGACAGCACCGCCTTGATTATGTTGGCACACGGACAGTGAGAATCCGTGTCTTTGGTGTCTCTCTTCCGAGACTTATCCATACCCCCAGCTCTATAGTACAACTCGTCAATTTGGTAACTGGAGCAACTCATAGAGTGTTGGCATGACTTCCCAGGTATAACACCATCATCATCAGACGAATGTGCTTCCCTCTGGGGATACGACGCTTTATTAGCGTTTTCAAAAGTCGCTCGTTCAAGTCTACGCTTTTGCGAGCGTGAAAACTTAATGGGCTCTTGAACTTCGACCCGCAATCCAATGTGGTCGGTAACAGGGGCTTTCCCTTTGTTATCTTTCTTAGGGGGATTAGCACGACCCCCAGTCTGGTTCATTGTTTGGGGACCTTTCAAAGGTCCCAATCTCTCCTTGATAGGTGCTTTGCCTCGATCTTCTGGTAAAGGACCGAGGCGACCTTTCAAAGGAACCCTGGATCTTGAAGAATCCACGTTCTTACCTGGCTCCGCCGGAGGTGCGGGAGCAGGGGAAACGGGATCTGGATTTGAGGAAGGCTGGACGATACCTCTGTCCCCTTTTGCCTTAGGTGTCGACTTCGCCTTTGGCACCCACACTTGCTTGTGTTTTGACGGCTTCTTGACCGTCTCTTCTTTCTGCATCTCTTCTGCTTTCTGCAGAAGGACTCGGGCAGGCGCAAGCAATGCGCGGCGTTTCTTGATTCGCTCCTCGAGGGTTGAGCGAGTCCTCTTGACACGAACCCATTCGTTCGTCTCTGTCTTGGAGGAGGAGTTGGTTGTTCGCCGTTGTTGCTCCTGGCGCTGTCTGGACTTTAGATCCCCATTGTAACGGATCCCGTCCATGGATTCTGCGGCTTTGGCCAGTTGTCGTGCAAGGCGTTAACGTCGTCTTTGGCGCGCCCTCTTTGACCAGGTTGGAACACCTTCAGCGGTTGATTTTGCGGTGGAAGGGAGATCTGGATCTGCAGCTTCGACCACGTTAGACGCCATAGCAGCGTCGCGGGGAGTAAGTGCAACGGCGGCGAGGGGATCTTGGATCTTCGATCCGGAGGGCCCGCGAGCACTCTTGGAAGATGAAGTCTTCCTGCGCCCGTTTGGAGAGGCGGGTCTGGGGGGGGAGGAAGAGAGGTACTCTTCAAACTTCTGTTGATCGAACTCGTATTCGATCTCTTCGTTCACCCGGATCTTGAAGGCCGGTTGCGTCACGACGGCCTCGGCAGCAAAGAAGAATTTGTACTGTGGTCGCCAGTTTGTTTTCGTCGAAAGTTGCCTTCATCATTGATTTCATTAAACTTTGAACGTTACAAATGAATTCAAACAACAAAGAATAAAAAGATTACAACTTTCTTGAAAATAAACACAAGATCCGTTCGTCGTCTCTTGCTTGCGTGGGTCTTTAGCCTGTGACGGGGATGTCGGTATCCGTGGACTACCTGGCAATCAGATCTGGTCCAGAGCTTCGTCTATCCGCGAGGAGATCTAGAAACTTGAAGCGCCTATCTCGATAAAAGCGAGATAATTTCTCTTCTTAGAATTACCACAACGGGATAAGACTAAGGATCAGATGCGGGTGATGTAGATCTGACGAAGAAATTCTCTTGTGTTGAAGTGCTCGATCACTCTTCACTCCGGCAGGGCTTCGCCAATTCTTTAAAATTCCAGATCTAAAAAAATGAGGCCTAAGGTTTGTATTTATAGGTTTGAGAGGATAACGGAGCGGTTAAAAACGCTTAAAAGCCCAAATCTTCCTTGGAGACACCCCAGGGTGTCTCTACTTGATTGGAGACACCCTAGGGTGTCTCCCATTGATCCCATTGATCCGAGACACCGAAGGGTGTCTCGGCCTTAGCCGAGACACCGAAGGGTGTCTCGTTGGTCCGAGACACTCCTTTTGGTGTTTTCATCTGTTTCTACTATAATTCCTTCGTCCGGACTCGGATTTGAGTGATTCGAAGTACGTTAGAAAGCCGACAAGGAGTTCTAGCAGCTCCGATGGTTGGATCATCTGTTGAATGAATGAGACACGAAGGGCGTTGTTCCTTTTGTAAACATCGCGGGACTCTCGATTAGCCCGTACCTTCGTTAGTTTACGTAGTTCGTTGATTTACTTCAAGCGTTCATCGACATCAATCGAACTCCTGTGAACCGGATAGTGACGTTCATCGTCGTTCCTTAACACTGGGTTGTTCGTGGAGACCTATATGCAATTTTTGATGCCTACAAGCATATTCACTCTCCCTCTCCCCAGGCTTGCATCTCAGATCCAACAAATTCAATTATAGATATAATCAGGACCTTCAGAGAGATCCGATAGAAAAGGTACACCTGTACCTGAGTGCAAATTGAGCAAGCATATGCACACAATAATTATCTAACCTTCTGATAAGTCGAACCGAAATGATTGTGAAAACTTTGAACTAAGGCCATCATTCACCCATCAATGCTATCAAAGCTTGAGGGATTTGCATGACACCATGAACCATGTGAATTAGACTTAAGAAGTCACATTCTAATTGAATACATTTCCAACCGTTTGATTTCGCAAATTGAAGAGCTTGTAGGATCGCCAATGTCTCACCCTCAATGGGTGAAAATGGAGGTCCAAACTCATGAAAAGATAATAAATTCATCCCAGTGTGGTCTCTGACAACAAACCTAATAGCAGAAGCATCAAAATAAATTGCGATATCAGAATTAATCTGGATCAAACCTGGGGGAGGTGCTGACCAAACATTAGGCGATGGCAAGTTTAGGCAAGCACAAATGTTTGTCATTTCGGGTGTAAGTTCTTTTGCATAGACTTCAGCGAGGATTAGTGTAGTACTTAATTGATTGATTAATGCCTTTGAACATCTTATTGCATCTATCTAGTTTCTCAAACGAACCAGGACAACGTAGTAGCAAAGGCAAGTGCGTGAGCACATCGTTTGAATTTGTTAAAATAACCAAAGGAGTGCTATTAATGAAGCCCATGGGTTGCCATGCTTACAAACGTATTTTGTACAATCCAATTCGAAAACAAAACCTGGCCTTGGAGTCAATAGCTTTTATGAGCCCACAGCTCATATGAAAAAGGTGGGGCCGAAATACACAAAACGAATAAGATTCGAGACCCAGTGGGAACTGAGTCAAATCCATCAATTATTGTCTTTGGGCCAATAATTTGTAGGGCTAGCACACTTGACCCAGTCAATGGACCATCCTGAGTGCCGAATTCGGGGCCGGCAATTATTGGCAATGGTGTGTGCAACTGAGATCTTTTCGATTCACTTACTTTTGTTTCGCTAAGAATTAAATTAAATTACAAGTATAGTTTCAGTTAAACCTTTAATTGTAGATTATGAACTAACAAAATTAGACAGTTGGTGCTTGTTGAGCAGTACAAAGAGCATGAAGTTATGACATCAGTTGCAATCAACTCACTGCAAATATAGTACCTACTGTGGTCCAAGCAATAGCAAATATGAAAACAATAGTACTATACTCGTAAAAGAAAATGATTAGATAAGTGGCATGGTTGGTCATCACCTCAGTCTAGCACACTGAAGGTCCCCATTTTGAGCCTGGGCGTGTTTTTTTACCTTAACGTCATCAGGTTAGGGACTACGTTACAAGCCCTTTCTAACCAAATCGCTGCTAGCATAGGTAACGGTAAGCAAACCCAGTAAAAGAAATTGAGGCTAGCATAGGTCATGAAAAGCAATGCCATTAAAAGACCATACAAAATAAGGGGAAAACTAACATGCAATGATCCGTAAAATTTACACCAGCTTGACTGCCCTCAAGTTTCACGAACAAGAGGGTGAGCCTTAGAACAACGCTAATGCGGTTGCCTTATAATCTGGAAGTCATTGGTTCAAATCTACAAAGCTATCTCTTCGAATGCGAGGATTAGATTGCGTACATCTGATCCCACATAGCCCACAATGATGGGAGCCTTGTGCATTAATGAACAAATTAAATATTCCAACGGGAAACCGTCCACAACTCAATCAAATTTGCAAAATTTTGAATCATGTATTTTGATAAGAATAAATATAACTTAGTGATGTTTATGATCTGAAGCCAATTTTTCAGGGTGTAATCCAAGAAGGATACTGTGCATTCAAGATGCATAACTTCTCCTATGGAGGAACAACTAAAGGCAAATGTTCTCTCTCTACACAGGCAAATATCATGTCTCCACAAAAAGCTGTAAGCAGCCACCACCCTACCTTGCAATCTCCCATAAAAGGGTTCAGAACATGCGAAGGCGACCTTGAAATCAACCTAAAATAAAATCCGTCATCAAGCCTTTAAGCTCTT